TTTCTTAGTTTATTTTGCATTTGCAGGTTGGAGATGCTTCAAAGGCAGGCCACAGTGTTAGAGTGTTAGATTCAAAATTTTTATCTTGGGCCGGTGCAGTGGCTCACGCCTGTACTCCTAGCGCTGTGGGAGTCTGAGGCAGGCGGATCACCTGAGGTCAGGAGTTCGAGACCAGCCTGGCCAACTTGGTGAAACCTCGTCTCTACTGAAAATACAAAAATTAGCCAGGTATGGGGCACATGCCTGTAATCCCACCCTCTAGGGAGGCTGAGGCAGGAGAATTGCTTGAACCCGGGAGGCGGAGGTTGCAGTGAGCCAAGATTGTGCCACTGCACTCCAACCTGGGTAACAAGAGCCAAACTCCGTCTCGAGAAAAAAAAAATTTTTTTTTTTTAATTGAGACAGGGTCTCACTGTGTTGCCCAGGCTGGTCTCAAACTCTTGAGCTCAAGCGATCCACCCACCTCTGCCTCCCAAAGTGCTGGGATTTCAGGCATGGGCCACCACACCTGGCCCAGAATTTTTATCCTGATGGAGAGAGCTCAGGACCATTTGGGAGGCCCCAGTGAGAGGCAGCAGGCCTCTGTTGTGTGTGCCTGAGGAATTCTGTTTTGTTTGTTGGTTTTTCTGGTTTTTGCTTTGAGACATCATTAAAGTCTAGGTGAATTCTGTTTTGGTGGCCATTTGGGAGTTGATTTCTGAGAATGTGTGTCATGGAAGAAATCTCAGTAGCAGATAGTCACACTCTTCCTATTCCTTTGTAGCCCCAGGATGGACTTCCTGATCCTCTTCTTGTTCTACCTGGCTTTGGTGGTGATGGGTCTTGTTCTTATCTGCGTCTGCTCGAAAACCCATAGCTTGAAAGGCCTGGCCAGGGGAGGAGCACAGGTAAGGATGATCCTTGGATAGCACTGGAATTTGAATACTGTGCTAGTCTAAGAGACTCACCAGTTTTGCTACAGGACAAAAAGGAGATGCCAGGCTGGGTGCAGTGGCTCACACCTGTAATCCCAGCTACTCAGGAGGCTGAGGCAGGAGGATCCCTTGAGCCAGGAGTTTGAAGTTGCAGTGAACTATGATCACACCACTGCACTCCAGCCTGGACTACAGAGTGAAACCCTGTCTCAACAACCACAAAAAAGATGCCACTCAACGTCATTGATGGATTTATTTCACTGATGGCAGTTGTGGGACATTCCATAGCCTCTGTCTGTGTGTGTTTTTTGTTCCTGCTGAAAGTCCTCTTGCGGTGGTGCTTTGAGAGAAGAGGTTGCTGTTTTCCTCTGGATTAGATGCCTGTGATTGGGCATGGATGTGAGCAGGGTCCGCCTGGGGTACTTGATGGGTGACTCTGGGGGATGTATGAGCAGAAAGCTCAGCATTGACTGGCCCCCCTCCTTCAGGGATCAAAGTCAGCAAAACGGGACAAGCAGCCTATGGGAAGGCATTGACTTGGGAGGGACCTGGGCCAAGCCCAGTGATCTGGGTGTGGACGCTGGAACCTGGGATTGAACCCAGACCGGGGAAGTAGCGGCCTTCACATTAACATTCCACGACCCATTCCCTCTGCTCACCTCGCTTTCCCTGAAGACCCTGACAGGTGCCTTCTTCAGAGTCAGACTAGAAATGGAACTGGCGTGAAAGGAAGACCAGTAGAAAGAATTCCCCTCTTTATTCTCTGCTAAATCACTTCTTTACCTGTATACAGAAACCAAGCTTCCTCTCACGCAGATTGCCAGCTGTGTGTGGAGTGTCTGATTTGTTTGGGAGTGGAGAAGTGAGAAGTGAAATGGAATCTTTCCCTTTCCTTTTGTTTCAGATATTTTCCTGTGTAATTCCAGAATGTCTTCAGAGAGCCATGCACAGATCGCTTCACTACCTTTTCCATACGAGGTATTTCTATTTCAGAGTTTAAATATTCTCGTCTTTTCTGCTTTGATTATTAATTGTTGAGATCCTCCAGCTTCAGGAAGCTCTTCGTGGTTTCCAGCATGGTGAGGGAAAGAAGGCCAGAAAGAATCAAGAGTACTGAGTTGGGAGCCTCTACTCATAGTTAATCTACCTTTTGAGACGGAGGTTTTAACTTGTCTACTTTTAAATAGTGATATTTAAAGATTGGGAAAATACTGACATGTATTTCTGTTAAATACATGCAGAATGTTTCACAGAGTTTTCTATGTAATTCTTACTACTATCTCAAGCCCAAAGGAAGTGGTTGACCCTTGGTTACTTTCTTTAGTATCATACAATTTCTTCAAGGAGAAGCCCCCACGAACAAGCCGTGTGCCTGTTTTCTTTCAGAAACCACACCTTCATTGTCCTGCACCTGGTCTTGCAAGGGATGGTTTATACTGAGTACACCTGGGAAGTATTTGGCTACTGTCAGGAGCTGGAGTTCTCCTTGTATTACCTTCTTCTGCCCTATCTGCTGCTAGTTGTAAACCTGTTTTCTTTCACCCTGACTTGTGTAACCAATCCTGGTAAGTTGAGGCTCTTAGCATACAGCATGGTGACAGCTCCACTGTCTTACTAATAGTGCTGCAAACAAGGAGAGGCTCCCCTACCCCGAGGACTTTGTAAAAGATTTGATGTGTAGCATTTTCCTTATCTTTCAGTTTGGAGTGTTTTCTAATTTTTTTTCTTCTTCGACCCACGGGTTATTTAGAACCGCTTAAAATTTTTAGTTTATCTTTTTAATACTTTCACTTCATTTTGTCATATATAGAGCACGTGATTGGTATGGTGCTGTTCCTTTTTTTGTTTTTTAAGATGGAGTCATGCTTTGTCGCCCAGGCTGGAGTGCAGTGGTGCGATCTCGGCTTGCTGCAACCTCCGCCTCCCAGGTTCAAGCAATTTTCCTGCCTCAGACTCCCAAGTAGCTGGGACTACAGGTGTGCGCCACCTCGCCTGGCCAATTTTTGTATTTTTAGTACAGATAGGGTCTCACCATGTTGTCCAGGCTGGTCTCAAACTCCTGACCTCGTGATCCACCCACCTCAGCCTCCCAAAGTGCTGGGATTATAGGCCTAAGCCACCGCACTGGCAGAATTGTACACTTTAAATGGGTGAATTAGGTTTGTGAGTTATATCTGAATAAAGCTGTTATTAAAAATGAATTGCACGGCTGGGCGTGGTGGCTCATGCCTGTAATCCCAGCCTCTTTGGGAGGCCTAGGTGGGAGGATCACCTGAGGTCGGGAGTTCCAGACCAGCCTGGCAAAAATGGTGAAACCCCATCTGTATTAACAAAGAAAAAAACAAAAAATTAGCCAGGCGTGCGTTAGCACATCTGTAATCCCAGCTACTACTTGGGAGGCTTATGTGGGAGAATCACCTGAACCCAGAAGTCAGAGGTTGCAGTGAGCCAAGATCCCACCACTGCACTCCATCCTGGACGACAAACTAAGACTGTCTCAAAAAAAAAAAAAAAAAAAAGAATTGCTTAAGATATTAAAGATAGCAGTTTCAGTTGTGTTTTATCAGGACGGGTTTTGTGACCATCCAGTCCACCATATTGCATGAAACTGACATATGTCCTTACTTTTCCCAGGCATTATAACAAAAGCAAATGAATTATTATTTCTTCATGTTTATGAATTTGATGAAGTGATGTTTCCAAAGAACGTGAGGTGCTCTACTTGTGCTTTAAGGAAACCAGCTCGATCCAAGCACTGCAGTGAGTATGGTTCTCGTGACTCCAGCGGCACCCCCAACAGCACATGTGCGGGCTTTGTCTGTGAGGGACTGTTTCCTGAATCTAAAAGAAGAGCCAGTTCACCCCCAGACGTGGTGTGGCCATTACTTGTAGAGTTGAGATAATGGTTTCTTTCAGATGAGTGAGGGTCAGGTCTTGTGTTCCTATGTAGTAGACAGTCCTCATCCCCGGGCATAACAGCCCTTCCCTCGCCACATGGGAGGACATGCTCCCCACAAGGTGTTTCTGTGGATGTTGTATTTGCGGATTTCAGTCCTACAAAGCCTAGTCTTCTGGGGAGGGCCCAAGATTCTAGACCAGTGCTGTCTAACAAAAATAGAATGTGGCTGGGCGCAGCGGCTCATGCCAGGAATTCCAGTACTTTGGGAGGTAGGCAGAGCTCTTGAACCTAGGAGTTCAAGACCAGCCTGGGTACCATGGGGAAACCCCACCTCTACAAAAAATACAAAAGCTGTAGTCCTGGCTTACTCAGGAGGCTGAGGCGGGAGGATCACTTGAGCCCAGGAGATCGAGGCTGCAGTAAGCTATGGTTAAACCACCACACTCCAGCCTCAGCAACACAGCAAGACCCTGTCTCAAAAAAAAAAAAAAGCCATAAATAGAAACAGTTTTTAAAAATGTTTTTCAAAATGTAACTGTGCTTGGAGACAGTTTTAATCAGTATGTTATTTAACCTAATATATGTAAAATATCATTTTAACCTGTAATCAATGTAAAAAATTCTTCATGAGGTAGTTTATATTCTCTTTTTCATACTAAGCCTTTGAAATCTGGTGTGTATTTTACATTTACAGCACGTCTTGATTTGGACACTAAATTTTCATGTGGAAATACTTGTATATTTAGATTTAATAAAATGTATAGTTGAAAAAGTAGACTCACAGGTGCAAGTTATATCCATACATTCTTAAAAGTTTTCCAATATCTGAATTTGGTACCAAAAAAATCATTTTCCTTTACCATCCATGTCTACGTTGACATAATGATTCATCTTAATCAGAAGAATTGACTTGACTTTAAAGCAGGAACATCAGTTTTAAAACATGTCTATCCAAGTCAAGTAAATTAACTAACTCTTCCGTTGCCTCCATATTTACACTGAATTCAAAGGAGTATTGTAGTAAAAAACAAATGTAAATTTGTCAATATTGACAAAATGTCCTTTCCATTTTTTGGTTTGGTTTTTGAGATAGCGTCTCACTCTGTTAACCCAGGCTGGAGTGCTGTGGTGCGATCATAGCTCACTGTAGCCTTGACCTCCTGTGCTCAAATGATCCTCCCGCCTAGCCTCTGAGTAGCTGGGACCCCGGGTCCATGCCACCACCTCAGATTTTTCTAGTAGCCAGATTGCAAGTGCTCAATACCCACATTTGGCTTGCAGCTCCTGTACTGGACACCGCACTTCCAAAAGCTTAGTTTGGAACTAAGCAGTGCCATTTCCCTCTGATTATACATCCAGTGGTCAGACTGTGAAAATCTCAGCAGGTGTGCGGCGTCCTTGTCTCATCAAGCACCATCCCAGCACATGCCCCCTCGTTTCTGTGCAGGTGTGTGTAACTGCCCCCTCGTTTCTGTGCAGGTGTGTGTAACTGGTGTGTGCACCGTTTCGACCATCACTGTGTTTGGGTGAACAACTGCATCGGGGCCTGGAACATCAGGTACTTCCTCATCTACCTCTTGACCTTGACGGCCTCGGCTGCCACCGTCGCCATTGTGAGCACCACTTTTCTGATCCACTTGGTGATGATGTCGGATCTATACCAGGAGACTTATGTCGATGACCTTGGACACCTCCATGTTATGGACACGGTCTTCCTTATTCAGGTAATTATGCTGTAGGTTTCTGACTTCAAGTTTCAGAATTGCAAAAAGGACATTTATTTTCCCAGTAAAAGCATGAAGTTAGGTGAGGTGCGGTGGCTCACGCCTGTAATCCCAGCACTTTTGGAGGCCGAGGTGGGAGGATCTCATGAGGCCAGGAGTTCAGGACCAGCCTGGGCAACATCCAAATGTCCATCAGCAGATGATTGAATAACTGGTCTCCTGTAGAGACCTTGTCTGTACAAAAAATACAAAAATGAGCCGGGGCAGTGCAGTGGCTCATGCCTGTAATCCTAGCACTTTGAGAGGCCAAGGCAAGCAGATTGCCTGAGCTCAGGAGTTTGAGACCAGCCTGGATAACATGATGAAACCCCATCTCTACTAAAATACAATTAGCTGGGTGTGGTGGCACATGCCCATAGTTCCAGCTACTCGGGAGGCTAAGGCACAAGAATCACTTGAATCCGGGAGGGAGAGGTTGCAGTGAGCCCAGATTGCACCATTGCACCCCAGCCTGGGTGACAGAGCAAGACCCTGTCTCAGAAACTAACAAATGTGAAGTTTTTCCTTTTTCTAAACTGATATAAAATTCACATATTGGGCCAGGCATGGTGGCTCACAGCTGTAATCCCAGCACTTTGAGAGGCCAAGGTGGGCGGATCACCTGAGGTCAGGAGTTCAAGACCAGCCTGGCCAGCGTGGTGAAACCTCGTCTCTACTAAAAATGCAAAAAAGTTAGCTGGGCGTGGTGGCCAGTACCTGTAATCCCAGCTACTCGGGAGGCTGAGGCAGGAGAATCACTTGAACCTGGGAGGTGGAGGTTGCAGTGAGCCGAGATTGCACCACTGTACTCCAGCCTGGCCAACAAGAGTGAAAGAGTGAAACACCATCTCAAAAAAAAAAAAAATTCACATATCATAAAATTCACCCTTTAAAGTATACCACAGTGGTATGAGTGTATTCACAGACTTGTGCAACCCTCACCACTGTCTAATTTCAGAACATTTCATCATCTCCATTCCCTCCTGCCCTAGACTCAGGTAATCACTAATCTACTTTCTGTCTTTTGGGATAGGCCTTTTCTGGACACTTCATGTGAATGGAATTGTGCAATATATGGTCTTTTCCCCTGGCTTCTTTCTTGTGGCACAAGGTTTTCAGGGTTAATTCATGTAGCACGAATCGACTTTATTCCTTTTGTTTGTTTGGGATGGAGTCTCACTCTTATTGCCCAGACTAGAGCGCAATGGTGCGATCTCGGCTCACTGCAACCTCTGCCTCTCGGGTTCAAGCAATTCTCCTGCCTCAGTCTCCTGAATAGCTGGAATTACAGGCACAAGCCACCACACCTGCCTAATTTTTGTATTTTTAGCAGAGAAGAGGTTTTACCATGTTGGCCAGGCTGATCTTGAACTCCTGACCTTAAGTAATCCACCAACCTCAGCCTCCCAAAATGCTGGGATTATAGGCGTGAACCTCCGCGCCCGGCCATATTTCATTCTTTTTTATGGCTGAATAGTATTCCATTGTATGGATAGACTGAATTTTAATTATTTGTTTATCAGTTGATGGACATTTCGGTGTTTTCACTTTTTGGCTATTTTTGAATAACACTGCTATGAACATTCATGTACAAGTTTTTTGTGTGGACATGTTTTTGTTTATAAAACATGTTTTATGTTTATGTTTTTATGTTTTATGTTTAAAAACATATGTTTTATGTTTATATTTCTCTTGGGTAAATTCCACCTAGAAGTGGAACTACTGGGTCGTATAGTAACTTTTTTTTTTTTTTTTTTTTTGAGACAGAGTCTCACTCTGTCACCTAGGCTGGAGTGCAATGGTACGATCTCGGCTCACTGCAAGCTCCGCCTCACAGGTTCATGCCATTCTCCTGCTTCAGCCTCTGAGTAGCTGGGACCCCGGGTCCATGCCACCACCTCAGATTTTTCTAGTAGCCAGATTGCAAGTGCTCAATACCCACATTTGGCTTGCA